TTTGATGCTTCATATTAATTTGTATAAGTTCTATATGAGAAACCAGTTCCACTAATTAACAAACTACAGCCATTATCTTACCAATCCACGTCCAATATAACTCCACATCTTCCAATTCACTCAACTTAACCAAATCCCCTAAAATTAACGTTACTGTCCTACTCACACACCCCTAATACACATAAAAAAACTTCACGCACGCGTACTACATCGACGCCCAAATATACGCTTCCACAGCGTCTTGTTGCAGACATAATGCAATTATTTTTGTGTAAATTTTTTACCAACCTGCGTTTATCTAAAAAATGATTGGTCAATTTTTTAGGTCCCCATTAGCGGCGCGCGCCATTAGTGGACGGTATGGTAGTGCGCCGAAGGACACTGGGCACCATGGTGCGGCAGACCGCTATCAGTATATCCCGTAGGCGCAGACTGGAAATTGACTCGTAAGTGGTTTCCTTTGAGAGTTTGAAGCTGCATTTAGCTATCTAAGTTAAATTATTGCGCTCTGTATAGTTTCTTTGCAACCGTCTAAGAAAGGGAGGAAATACTTTTTAGTTTCACCCACAGAAGGGGTGTAGTAGGTTCGGAAACTGAAGGCAACCTTGTTAACGTGAAGTTTTCGATTTTTTGCTTTTAGCATCTTCATTGTTTATCATGAGAAGCTTAATCTTACTCTCGAAAGAACGTGCCATTCTTTATCCACTCAGATACCTCGAAGTTAGTTTTAAAATCTCGTCCGTGCGTCATTTTTTATCCTGCTTCTCGGAGGCGCATCGATCTTAGTTAAAACGCCTCTCGTTTTTTATATATGATATATTTAAAACAAAACGTGAATCACACCCATTTTCTGGCGCATTTCGTTTTCCCGAGCTTGGAAGCGCTTACAATGTTTCGCTCGCTTCGCTCGAGGTGCACTTTTCAGTTTCCTCGCCGGACTTTGACGATCGCGATGAAGCGACATTTATTTGCTTTTGAATTTACTAACGATTACAGGTATTCTCCGCCTCGAGTTCGTCGTAAACTCAAGATTCAAGATATCGTCAAGAGATATCACCATGAACGATCTGTTCCGGACTTTTACGTGTCGCTTTTTACTACTGATGCGAAGTAAACTGCAGAGACATTTTCAAAGTTGAAACTTGAAAAGTTCTCAGATTTTCCATATATCAATGCAAAATTCAGCTACAGCGGGGCAGGAAATGTTTATATCGTGGAAACACATTACTTGCTTATTAAGGTAATTTTATAGCATTTGAATATAGTACCACAGAAAAAGTACTTATTAATTCCTTTCATTTGAGGTGCATACCGAACCTCGAATTTAAAACGGTACCACATTACACTGCCGACGTTACTTTAGTTTCAATTATAATGAAGGAATTAGGGTTTACTTGACTTTTAAAGTCAATATAATTATAAAAAAAAATATATAGACTATGAATTGTCAGTGGAAAGTACATTACTTAAAAGTGTATGTAGTCGTAATTCTTTAGAAAAAGAGAAACTTAAATCATTCTTCTTATAAGGAGTATTCCTTTGAAACCGGCAACGGAAAAAGGTATACTAAGCAGTGACGAGTCATTATATTTTTCTTTACGCAAATGTATTTTCAGTAAATTGGCTCAATATTTTGCCCATATATACTGTTAGCCTGTGAGCAAGCTCTCTGGGGTGCTTTGGCAGTTGGACGAAAAAGGAAGAAAAACTGCTGTTGTGTATATCATTATGATTATATCATCCTTATCGTCACAGTCATCACATATTAGGGAACTTACGGAAAAGCGTTTTTGAGCGACCACGTCAACATGCAGAAAGTGGACTTTTTACATTCCTGAGCAGTGGTTTTACATCGTCTCTACAAGTGTGAAGAAACTAGGCAATACAAATTTTATAACGTCAAGGTGTATTTTAAAAAAGGGAAAAGTCCTCATTTCCGGTTGACGTGCGTCTCTCAAAAACGCCTTTGCTTAAGCTCCGTATTATGTCATTAATCATAACTATAACAAAATTGTCAAATCTGATTGGCTATCAACTGCCCTGATTTCAGCCTTATTTGGACAGTTTCATAGGACAGTACACGTCATGCCTAAGTAATTGGACAGTACGCACCATCACGCGCGCCCTTAAATGGCTTTTTTTTTTCACTGCTAGCAAAACAAAATTTCGAATCTCTTGTGTTTTGATTTAAAAAAATAGCCTATTATATCAAAAATTTTGTTAAAGTTATGATCAATTGGTAACAGAACTTCGTGTCATCCAATTCGGTCTGTAATCATACTCGTGATTAAACAAATCGGACTCCCGCTACACGGTCGTCCGATTTTGTTAATCAATCGTATGATTACAGACTAAATTGGACTCCACTCAGTCCTGTTACCATTACATACCCGGGATACAGTGGTCCCTGGTCCCTTGGATAGCACATACTTCAGCTGTTATTTTAAGTTGCACTGCGCATTTTAACTCATTAAGATTATAACCCTTTTCTTCTTGTTACGACTGTTTTCCAAATGTTTCTTTTAATTTCTGTTCTCAGTATGTGTAAAAACAAACTTGATTAGAATTAAGGACAGTACTGACCACAGGTTGAAATTTCAGCTTGCTTGCTATTTTAAATACCTATTCGTTATTCATTACAGCTTAGGCTTCTATTTTCTTTTAGCGTTCGTCTGCAAGATATGCAACTAAAATCAAACAGCGACAATAAGCGAGATTGCATCTTGGCCGGCGGGCCACTCTTTACAGAATGGAGTAGAATAGAGTGCATTTTTGTCCACTACCTCGAACCTTTCCAGTACTATCCATTCTGACAATGACCATTTCTACACACCTAAGAGGCCAAAATTCGGATTCATTCGTTCTACGGTTGATGGTGAAAACCTCTTATTCTGCAATAGCAACCCACTCCAAACAGTGGATATAAAGATGGTTAAATGCTGGAGAAATTGGTAATTGGTAGGTAAGAAGGCAGGGAACTTGATGCCTCGAAGAGGGCCCAGGGGCAGGGTTCTATCTAGGACTTATCGTTTGGAGGAGACGTCCCGAGTGGCCAAAGGTCACAAGCTTCTTAGGGGGGTCTCGTGGCATGCCCTCCCCCCCCCCCTCCATGTTTTGGAATGAATATGCGCTGAGATGCAATCTGGTGCATTTTGAAACACAATTTTGAGAAATGTTACAGTAGTGCTTAAATAAAAAAACTCCATGTTCCTTGTCATATAGTGTCCTTCGACAGGGAATGCTTACTTACTGTAATGATAACTATATTTATGGGGGGAAGCTTCTACCCCTCAAATACCCTAGACAGACCCTGACGGGAATATAGCTAAGGAAGTACCTCATTTGGGAAGACTCCGGCTTATCTACAAGAATTGTTCCGTCTTCTGAAGTCTCGGAACGCACGACAAATTTTCACGTATTTGAACCCCAAACCTGCGGAAATGATTATCATCTGGAGGGAAAGTCCTTTGTAATTCCTGCATCACTGAAATGAGGTCCAGTGTTTCTAAACGCTTGGTCAGAAGCTCCAGCAATATGGTTAACTGGTCTTTATTTGACAAATGCACTTCAAGTGTTTCACTTAAAATGTTTTCTTTTCTCGCAAATCTTGAAAAATTATTGGTGATCAGAAGCTTCGTGTCTGGAATTAGTGCCAACTTTTCACGCAGACATCTTTCTATGGTGATGGTCTTCTGGTGTATTGCATCGCTCATTCGCCTCAAACTCTGGCTGTGCTGAATAAGGACGACGAAAAGGGTCGATTCCTTTTCTAGAAAAAAGATAAAAGAATTTTTTTTTTCTAAAACCGTCTATCATCATTCATATTTTATAACAGCCATAACTTAAGTTTGCCTACTGAGAATTCTAATCAGTTTTGGACATTATTTATTGCCAAGTTTTAGACTTTTCGAAAGAAGAATATCGGGAGGAAGAGGAGCTATAAATTGAGACACAGTTTTACAGCGTGCATAAGAGTGTTCCGGGATGTAGCAGTGAGATTGCGAGGTTCTTCGTCATGTTGGCTTATAACAGCTATTCAAGAATTCCCTCTTCAGTCATTACTTACCCTGCCAATACTAAATAAATGCTAGATTGACTTAGTTTCCTTATTTATATCTACTATACATACTGAGAAATACTCACCAAAAAGCTATGTCGTAAATTTTCGTACGCAAATTAGTTCTAGCCAATCAGAGGAGCGAACGATGGTTTTCACACGTGAAAAAAATGATACGTCCAATCAGAATGGCGAACGATGTTTTTTCACGTGTGAGAAAAATGATACGTCCAATCAGAAGCCACAGAGGTGTGTGAGTTTCGCGCCAAAATTCCCGCTTTTCATTGCGGCTTGCAGCACCGCTTCGCACACACTCAACGAGGAAAGTTTTACTCAAAGAGTTTTTCTCGCTAAAAAAGTGAAAAACGTTGAAGTGGAATAGTTTCGTTTGTTTCACTGTCGATAAAGAAAACGGTAGAGAGCCGGCGAGACAACGAGAACGAGACGTAAGCTTTTGTTGTGCTTTTTCTCGGAGCTACTTTGCCTTTCATTTAAGCTTAAGCTTATATTGAAACCGGCCGATTTACTTAAATTCACTCATTTTCAATTGTGCATTGAGAACAAACAGTTAAGATTACTTATAGTTATTGGATTACCTCATATCCTTACCGTCATTTATGTTGTTAAACAAACGTTTTTACTAAAAAGCTGATACTTCGTTTTCGTTGTCATTTTGCGGTAAGTGTGTAGCGGCAAATTTTAGCATTTTGAAAGATTTAAAATAAAAAGGCCGCCAAAATGATGAATGTCTCAGTATGTATATAATAAACACAATACCACATGGAAAGCACTTTGTACGGTATTTACGCACTCGTTATTTTTGTATCAGAAATCTTGCTCGTTCGCTTTCTGATACGTCAACAACTCGTGCGTAAAACCGTACGCCAGCACTTTCCATGAAGTATTCTCTATCTAATGACTAGGTTGGCTTATAAATGATACAACTTGACTGTTCGACCACAATTTTTTACAGTATGTGGATGGATACTTAAACGGGACTTATGTTATTTAAAAAATGCTGAACGGATGTTGTCGCAGCGCCCCAAAATATTTTCTTGTTGTGTTACAACGTTTACCTTTATCATATGGCAATACTTCTATCCATTCGTCGATGACGCTTAAAACAGTTATTTCGAATTTTTCAATCTCTTTTTTCAGTTCTTCCTCCTTCTGCTTTATCTGCTTCTCGATCAATGGCTTCCTTTCGTTTTTCCACTTTTCTATTTTTTCTGTCAGCTCTTTTAGTTCATTTTTCATTTCAGGCTCCTCTTTGTAGAAAACACTCAATAGCTGCTCATCCGTCTTGGTTGAGAACGTTGCTTCATGCTGCCTGGCTATTATATCTTCTTGTCCCCAGTCATACTCATCATCAAAGTCATCTGGACCGAATAATTCCAATTCCTCTCTTCTTCTTTTCCATTTGTTGTAACTATCTGAGATCTTGTTTTCCAAAAGCATCTTTAAGTCCTGTTCCCTTCCCCTTGCTTTTCTGTCATTAATTTCGTCTTTACTCTTGCTTCTCGAAAGTTTATCGAGATCTGCTGCCAATTCTTTATAAGAAGCAGTCGGAAAAAATGTAGTTACTTCGTTCCGTGAATTCTGAGATCTAAAAAATGATCCAGCTGTTTCTACATCATAGTTTTCGAACGTAGGAGAGGTTTCAACGAAACCGACTATTAAAACCTTTGCTTTGCTGTAAACCTTTGTTGGGCGGTTGCTGACGTTCGATAACTTTTCTATTTCTTTTAGCGGAAGAGCAGGACGAAGTGTCCGTCGTTTAGTTGCTTTTTCTAAGAATTCTGCAAAGTCATACAGTTTTAGGGCCTCAAAAACTTCCTTTAGCAGCTTGATTGGGGTATCAGGAAAAAATTTTCCAATGTTCCTCCGCCGGTCGCGAACGTCGTACAGTAAATCAGGATCAAGCCCAAATGAACGGTAAAATTGGTTTAGAACATCTTGGTTCCTATTAAGCCTGGACGTTAGTTCCTCAGTCACTTCTTTACTTAGATCTTTCAGGCACAGTTTGGAGGTGGAATCTACAAATACACGACAAAAACAAAGAAATATAATTAAGAACTCTTCACTCCAGTGTCTTAAAATAAATGGATATCGGTTTGAACGGAACGGTAAATAAAATTTGAATTGATTTCAGAAGTGTGAATTCATAAGGCTGTGAGAAAATAATGGGGAGAAGGATAAAGTGTTAATATTTCATTGACTTTGTTATCCAAATTCCCACTTGTCCCCGGCAAATGCTAACGGAAGAAAGCAAAGGAATCGATTATTTGTTAGTGAATTTCACTTCGTTTTCTTTATATCCCTTTGCTTCGTACAGTCTTAGCCAAGTGTTTATTTTAAAAATTCGAAAATGGCCTATTGATCCCGATGAAACTTCCCTGGGCTAACCCTAGATCGCAAATGTCCAAGTGGGCGCTAAGGCAAAGTCATACCGCTGGTTTCTTCAAATCCAAATTCTGATGGTGCACTGCCCGATCCCGGCTTTCCACTGTCATCGTCTGTAGATACACTTTGTACATCTGTGGCCCTGGTTTGCTCTAAGTAATTCGTAATGTAGGACAGTTTTTCCTGAGCGAGGTATGGAAGTCGCCTCCCTTCCTGACCATCAGGTTCATCTGAAATCAAAATGGCACGTAAAAATACAGATGTCAGTGACACTGATCGTAAAATTCATTTCACCAGTCTCTACTATTTAACATTAGAGTAAGAATGTATGTAAATGAAACATGTTCAGGCTTTGGGTTAAGACGATTAACGGCAGAGGCCAGAATGTTTTGGTAACGAACAACAAACAAACATTGAATCTGATGAAAATGATGTGAGCTACAGAAGTATTTAATAATAATAATATACAATATTTACAGAGCGCTAATTCCCAATGGTCCAAAAGCGCTTAACATAATAAAAATAACAACAAAATCCTAAACCTACAAAACTACATTGTCATCCTATAAAAAAATTCCCAATGATCTAAAAGCGCTTTACATAATAAAAATAACAACAAAATCCTAAACCTACAAAACTACAAAACTGCATTGTCATCCTATGAAAACATCATCATTCTATACGACAACATCGTAACAAATTTTAAAAAGCCAAGTCTTAAGCTTAGATTTAAAAGAAGAAAGGGAATTACAAGATCTAAGTTCGAATGGAAGTGCATTCCAAACAGAAGGTGCAGCAATAGTAAAAGACCGGCCACCATAAGTTTTAAGATTAAATTTAGATGTAGAAGGTAAAAATTGATTAGAGGATCTAAGAAGTCTACCAGGTGTATAAGGCTTGATGAGATCAGTGATATAGCTAGGTGCAGCACCATGAAGTGCCTTAAATGTAATTACTGCAATTTTTTGTTCAATTGGTAGCCAATGAAGTTGAATAAGCTACGGCGTAACATGTTCATATCTACTAGTAAGGTGAATAAGCCTAGCAGCACTATTTAGGACACTCTGTAAACGTTTCAAGATACATTTAGGCTGACCGTAGAGCAATGAGTTACAATAGTCGATCCTTGCAGTAACAAAGGCATGAATTAGAGTTTTACATGTATCATAAGAAAGAAACTTGCGAATCTTAAAAATATTGCGTAAATGAAAAAACGAGGACTTGCAAATAGCAGTAACGTGCGGCAACATCGATAGAGAGTTGTTAAAAATAACCCCAATATTTTTAGCAGTAGTTGAACAGTTAACAGTGCCAGAGGCAATCACCAGGTTTTTTAACGCAGGACGTGGGCGATAGGAGGATGAAAAAACTATAATTTCAGTCTTCCCACTGTTCAGCTTCAGCTTGTTATTTAACATCCAAAGGTCAATATCTTTAACACAATCTTCAAGAGCAGATTTACATGTTGATAAATCCTCAGGCGATGACGTTTCAAAAGATAAATATAGCTGTGTATCATCAGCATAAAAGTGATAAGATAGACCATGAGATCTTGCAATATCACCTAAGGGGGAAGTGTACAAAGAATACAGCAAGGGGCCCAACACGGAACCCTGAGGTACTCCATAAGGTATGGCATGCACTTCAGAAGAGACATCTTGGATTCTAACATACTGAGTGCGATCAGATACATATGAACGAATCCAGTCCAGTGCCTGGTCACAAATGCCAAAACGGGTAGATAGTCTAGCAAGGAGAAGAGAATGATCAACTGTATCAAAAGCAGCAGACAGGTCCAGTAGAACCAAAACAACAGATTTTTGATTGTCAATGGACATAGCAATGTCATTGTAATATTGTGAGCGGACAGAGAGTAATAGTTCATAGATAATACGATTTTGTTCAATAAAACGCAGACGATCTTCGGGCAATCTAGTCCTATGCCATCTCCTTTCCAGTTGGCGACGAACTCTTCTCTCCAGTTTAATCTCCTCACTAAACCATGGAGCAGCGGGACGTATGGTAACCATGCGCGATTTTAATGGCGCATGCTTATCCAAAACAACTAGATAACTCCGAATTATACAAGTGAAGCAGCGTAAGTAAATCATTGGATGATTCAGACAAAAGAGGAGACATTGCAACATCTTGTTGAAAATGCTCCAAGTTGATGGCTTTTAATTTCCGACCACAAATACGCTTCCTTTCCCAATTAGGCTTAACAAAACGAAGATCAGCACAAACAGTGTAATGATCCGATATCTCTGAGGAATCATCAACTGAAATGGCATTTAAAATATATTCAGCATCACGAGTGATGACCAGATCCAAAGTATGTCCAGCTCTGTGGGTGCAACTACGAACATGTTGTTGTAAATCAAATGACTCCAATAAGCTCAGGAAATTAGCCGCCGCAGTATAAAAATTTCCGCAGTTTACATCATTTTCATTAATTGGCCTGGTCCTAGTGCATGGGTCCATAACTCAGTAGGTAGGGCACGGTAGCAATAACGCAGGGGGCGATGGGTTCAAATCCCGTTGAAGTCCCGAAATTTTTTTTCTGGTTAATTTGCAGTGGCAGTTACCACTGCGACGATCATATCTTCATTTAGACAACAAACATCGTTCGGCCAAATGAGCACTAAAAAATTTACTTAGGTTAATTGATTTTCTGCTCTCTTGGAGCAGTTTAGCAATAAGTCACTATCCACCCGGCGGTTCTACGAAAGTTCGAAAATTCCATCTACGCTGGGGACGTATCTCGACAGTTAGGATTGTCAACCAGTAACACGGGAATCACCTGACCACCTTTGACCTCAACAGTAAGTGAAAACTGCCTTGGACAGCAGCCCACAAACTGCTGGTTAAGGCCAGATTCCAGATAATTTGTTACTTGAATTGACCAGCTAAGTTTTTTAAATGTACCTTGTGTTTCGACAGTTGCTAACTCGTTCCGGGTCTTGTCGTATTCTTCTTCGTCGATGGTCACGATCACTTCCACTTGCTCTCCACCAGCAAGGTCTCTCATTTCATCAGTAACAAATAAGGCCTGCAGGCGCTTTTTCAGGGTTCCATTCTTGTACAATCTCCACAAATGTTCAAGAGCTGCGAGACTTTCCGCTTGAACTTTCAAGTACACACTGCCCTCAATTATTTGTAGCAATTTAGCGCCAGCAGGAAGGACGCAGGTATTAACAGCTGTGATGAGCTGATCATACGTACAGCCACGCCTCAGCAGCTGATAGGCAGATGTTAGTACTAAACCTCCTGCAGCCACTTTGAACACCGTTTTGATGCTCAGAACTAAGGGTAAAAATAGAAGTAAAGCGTGAGTACAGTTAGACAAGAAAATGACTGACTGAGTGACACTACACCATCCCATTTGAGTTTAGTGGTGGATCGAGGGGAGGGGCCTGGGCTCCCTTCCTCCCCCATGAAGGTCCCTATCCGCCACTTAAGTTGCAAACTCTGATTAACTTAATGACCACTGTACTTTGAATTTTAAAAACATAGAAAATTCTGACCTGGTACACCCTTGCG